CAAAGACCTATGACCGGATGGAATGGTATTTTCTTAAAAGCATGATGTTGGCATTGGGTTTTGATGAAAGGTGGGTGGAGCTAATAATGAAATGTGTAACTACGGTCTCGTATAACATATTGATAAATGGCAACCGCAGTGACATTATTGTGCCCTCGCGGGGTTTAAGGCAAGGAGACCCATTGTCCCCATATCTATTTATTATTTGTGCAGAGGGGTTTTCCCTACTGTTGCAGAAAGCTCATAATTCGGGATTGATTCATGGCTGCAGAGTTGCAAGAGGTGTTCCCCCAATCTCTCATTTGTTTTTTGCTGATGATAGTCTTTTATTTTTCAAGGCTAATATGGAGGAGGCTAATGAGATTAAAAGATGCCTATCAGTTTATGAGGAATTATCTGGGCAGGTGGTTAATTATCATAAGTCAAGTATATGCTATAGCAGAAATACGAATAACATGGATAGGGAAGATGTGGCCCAAGTGTTGGGAGTAGGGCAGGCTCCTAATTTTGGCAAGTATTTGGGTCTTCACTCTTTCGTTGGAAGAAACAAAAAAACAGCTTTCTCATATATTGAGGATAAAATACGGCAGAGGATTGGGTCATGGAACAAGAGATTACTATCGCAGGCAGGAAAAGAGATTTTATTGAAAAGTGTAGCACAATCTATGCCTACCTTCTCAATGAGTGTCTTTCTATTGCCAATATCTGTGTGCACAACAATTGAAAGGACTATGAATCGCTACTGGTGGGACTCTGGAACTGATAGGCGAATACATTGGAAGGCTTGGGATAAATTATGTGTCCCTAAGAAGTACGGAGGGTTGGGTTTTTAGGATTTACGTGCCTTTAACCTAGCAATGTTGGGGAAACAGGCATGGCGAATGCTTACTAAACCTGAGTCCTTAGTGGCTCGTGTATATAAGGCTCGCTACTATACCAAGGGTTCATTTTTTGATGCACAGATAGGAAACAACCCCAGTTTCTGTTGGCGAAGCATTATGGCAGCCAAGAGTATAATTTGTAGTGGGGTAAGGCGCAGAATTGGAAACGGGGAGTCTACACTCATATGGACTCATCCCTGGTTACATGATGAACACGACCCCATGATACAAACTCAGATGCCAATACAGTTGGAGGATGCCAGAGTGGTGGGATTAATAGATCAACAAACAGGTTCATGGGATCACTCAATTCTAACTGATTTATTCCAACCTAGTGATGTGGCAAATATTCTAAAGATACCTGTCTCCCCGGAATATGATGATACGTGGTATTGGCAAGGAGACCCGAGAGGAATTTATTCGGTAAAGTGTGGGTACAGATTGTTAGTTGGAAATTACGAGAATGGTAGTGGGATTTTACGAAATGGTTGACCCTATGGAAACTCAAAATCCCCCCAAAGTGGAAAATGTTTCTTTGGAGAGTCATTTGTGATATTTTGCCAACTACTACTAACTTACTTATAAAGAGGGTAGATGTGGATCCACATTGTGCCATGTGTGGAATATCTCAAGAGGATACTATGCATGCCTTAGTGTTGTGCGAATTTGCAAAGGACATATGGGAACGATCCAACCTTCCAATCCCAAATATTGTGACAAATGTTTTTCATGTTTGGTTTGGTGAGCTCTTAAATGTTTTAGACTCTAATGGAGTTTTATATGCAGCATCAATTCTATACAATATTTGGAGAGCACGGAATGGGGCAGTTTGGAATGCATGTCTACCGCGGCCATCATTATTGCCCACGACAGCAACAGTGACCACGCATGCATGGTTGCAAGCACGCCAACCCACTGCCACACGAAGCCATGCGGTGCCGGCCACGACATCGCACCCCGCCCTTCACGCTACACGGTCTGCACAGCCCCGAAGGATATGCCGCGTCGCCGCAGGATACTTACATGGCACGGGCAAGGCCACGGTTGGGGCTATTCTCCTAGACATGAATGGGGATTACGTCTCGGCTCTCACTACGCCTCTCCCGGATTGCTCCTCACCACTAATGGCCGAGGCGCTGGCATGCAAGGAAGCTTTATCATGGTTAAAGGATCGAGGGGAACAACACATCGATATATATACAGATTGTTTGACACTACAACGATATCTTACTACGCCACCTGCTGCGTTTCGCTCATTGACAGATCTGCAACTGTGACTTTATTTCAGTCCTGTTCATTTAATTATATTACTAGACTAGACAATTATTTAGCTCATGCTTTAGCTACTTCGGCATACCAGCAGGATGCTACTATGTATTGGGATGTTCACCCAGGCCACCTGACATTATTTCGGCTTATTTTTAATGAAGTACCATATATTTTTCAAAAAAAAAGTTGTATCTAAAATAAATTTTAAAAATCACCAAAGAAAAGCAAAATGATAGAATCAAGGAGAAACAGGATAGGGTGCTGCCGATTGATGTGGAACTGGATAGTGTTGATATGTGGGTTAAGTCTATGGACTCCCGATGGGCTATACATCTATGGTCATACAGGAACAAGTTGGTAATTTTTTGGGCCGTTTTGTGAAGGGGGAAGTCGGGACGGAGTTTCGCACCTACGATGGTTTAGCAGTTTCAGCATGTCGGGACTTGATGAATCTTTTAACTTTCTGCTCTGTTATTTATATTCCTCGCTCTTTAAATATTTTAGCTCATTCGTTAGCTCAGACAGCCTCTATACAGGCAAATTCTATGTTGTGGGAGGATAATCCTCCTACCTTTATTTCGGCTTTGATTGATTAATATATACAGCAGTTTACTTTCAACAAAAAAAAAAAAAAAGCAAAATGATAGAATTTTAATTTATTGTTTTGGTGGTGAGAAAAATCATCAACCACTATTTAAGGGCATACACAAGATAAACTTCACTCCTATGTAATAGAAAAAATAAACTACACAAGATAAATAAATTACACAAAAATATCATGTAATCAAAATAGGATTCACAAGAAAATTTATCTTTTTAAAATCAATTCATGAATGCATGGTGATTATTCCATTCATTACAATCCTATCTCTATCATCAATAATGGATTCAATGCTATGGTCTGGCATGCATATATATTTGGTACGACAGAGACAGAATACATCAATGGATTCAATGCTATGCTATGCTCTGGCATGCATTATAGATCCTCCTCTCCAAAACTTATTTCGTTTGGAATTAATGCATAGTCAAAGTCGCCATTGCATATATGAATTCAAGCTTTTTGACCAACTCGAATTTCATTTTTCTTTTTATTGTAATCACTTGTGATAACATAAATATAATAGGTTCTGTCTCATGCGCAATTGTCTCATAGATCCTTATTCTTGAATGAGTCGAGTCACTTGTTTGTTTAATGTTTTAATTTTAGTATAAATATTTACATGTTTAAATAAGATGGTGGATAAGATGCATCAGGCTGTTCGCATTCCAACCAATGCTCCACTTGCTAGATGATGTGGAATAAAAATATAAATTTTCTTTTTCTTTTTATGTACACGTTGGCTAGCAATTAGCTTGCATCTGTTACAGGTTTGCTAATGGCATTTGGCAACAAAAGCTGCCACACCATGTACTTTTATATAATTTTGGTTAATTTTTTTTATTTTGTTATGTAACTAATTTATTTATTTTAAAGACCTAATTTATTTTAATTTTTAATTATTAGGCCGGTCTTCGGATTTCTGATTTGTTTAATTTTAGTTATTTCAATATCTTCAAATTTGTACTAGGGTTAATTTTAGTTATTTCAATGTATTCAAATTAAATTTGTACTTGGGTTAATTTGAGTGTGAACTTGCTTAAGGACAAGCAAGAAGTAAAGTGTGGAAAGTTTGATAAGTGCTGTTAGAATTTAATGTGTTTTGTGGCTCAAATTTGTGGAGATTGCGTCATCCTCAACACCATCCATGTCGGCCATGTCGCACACGTTCATCTCCTCAATCCGCAGCCACGTTTTCCCTTCCTCAATGTACATGCCACATTTATCTCTCTTCTTGCATGTATAAATAGTTTTAGTTTCTTTATTTTCAATGCATCAATCATTTGAATTCATCTTCATTTGTCTTTAGCTTTCCTTACGTACAAATATATATATATATATATATATATATATATATATATATATATATATATATTTCATTTGTTATTTTCTTTTAAGAATTTATATATATATATATTTTATATTTTCCCATTTTATATTAGATTCATTTGTCATTTATATAATTTTCTTCATTTACATATTTTCCCTATTATTTAACTTCTATAATTCTCAATTTTCGATTCTTCGTTTCAGTATTATTCCGCTATATTTCTAACAAGTGGTATCAGAGCCAGGTTTATTTGAGAATTATTTTCAAAGATGTCGACTGTTACTAAGTTCGATATCGAGAAGTTTGACGGGAAAATTAGCTTTTCTATCTGGAAGGTTCAGATGGAAGCCGTTCTAACCCAGAACGGTTTGAAGAAAGCGCTAGCTGGGAAGAAGAAGAAACCAGCTATAATGACAGATGTAGATTGGGAAGATTTGGATGACAAGGCATGTTCAACCATTTTTTTGTTCCTGTCTAAAGAGGTTCTACGTGAGGTAGTAAGTGAGACGACTGCGTCAGATTTATGGTCCAAGCTGGATACGCTTTACATGGCCAAAACTCTGGCGAACACGCTACGCCTGAAGGAGCGTCTGTACACAATCTGTATGACGGAAGGTACTTCTATTAAATCTCACTTGGATGAATTCAATTCTATTTTATTGGACTTGGAAAATATTGATGTCATAATTGAAGATGAGGATCGTGCTGTTTTATTGCTTGTCTCTCTCCCTAAATCATACATGCATTTCAAAGAAATTATGCTGTATGGTAATAGTAGTGATACCCTTACTTTTGACAATGTTAAGTCAAACCTATTATCCAAAGAAAAGTTTGACTTTGAAATTAAGTCTGAGGACAAAGGTGAAGGCTTGACTGTTAGGGGTCGTTCACTTGAATCAGGGAGTAGCAATAAAAATTCTAGATCCAAGTCCAAAGGATGTAAGTCCAACAAATCCTGTAAGTACTGCAAGAAGCAGGGTCATGATGTGACTGAATGCTTCAAGTTGAAAAACAAGCAAGAGAGAGAAAAGAAGTCTGCTGAAGCTAGTGTTGTTGAAAGTGATTCAGAAGGCGATGTTATGTTATCTGTTAGCTCCGGTGACAAACGGAGCAAAACTGAGTGGATTCTCGACTCTGGTTGTACATTCCACATGTGTCCTCACAAAGACTGGTTCGTCTCTCTAGAACCGGTTGATGGTGGAGTTGTCTTGATGGGTAATGATACCCAATGCAAGGTTAGTGGAATTGGAAGTGTGCAGATTAAAACTCATGATAACATTATCAGGACTCTTACCAATGTTCGGTATATTCCTGATTTGAAACGCAATTTGATATCATTGGGCACCTTGGAATCTCTGGGGTGTACCATAGCTGAAGGTGGAGTTCTGAAAGTCATAAAAGGCTCTCTTATTCTCATGAAAGCTTCTCGTTCTGGAAACTTATACATCTTGCATGGTAGTACTGTAACAGGTTCAGTAGCGGTATCCTCATCGATGTCTGATGCGGATCTCACCCAATTATGACATATGCGTCTGGGGCATATGAGTGAGAAAGGCATGCATCTCCTGAGCAAGAAAGGCCTCCTTGGTGGTTCAGGTACGGGTAAATTACAATTTTGTGAGCATTGTGTTTTTGGGAAACAAAAGAGGGTTAGTTTCTCTACTGCTACACACCGTACCAAAGATGTATTAGAATATATACATTCCGATTTATGGGGACCAACTAAATTCCAGTCTATGGGAGGCTGTAGATATTTCATGTCTATTATTGATGACTTTTCTCGTAAGGTCTGGGTCTATTTCTTGAAACACAAAATCAGGCTTTTCCTATTTTCAAAAAGTGGAAAAAACTTGTTGAGACTCAGACAGGGAAAAAGGTCAAGAAGCTCAGGACAGACAATGGCTTGGAATTCTGTGAGTCAGATTTCAATGACTTCTGTACGGCAAATGGAATCGCCAGGCACAAGACCTTGCCTGGTAAACCCCAGCAAAATGGTGTTGCCGAACGTCTAAACAGGACATTATTGGAAAGAGCTCGTTGTATGCTCTCTAATGCTAGGTTATGGAAACGGTGTGATTTTTGGGCCGATGCCATTTCTACTGCTTTCTATTTGGCAAATAGATCTACACATTCATCCCTTGATTTCAAAATTTCAGAGGAAGTTTGGTCAGGTAATCCTGCTGACTACTCTATCTTAAGAGTTTTTGGATGTCCTGCATATGCTCATTCCAGTACGGGTAAATTAAACCCTCGAGCTGTCAAATGCATTTTCCTTGGTTATGCCTCTGAATCAAAAGGGCATCGTCTATGGTCTCCTGATTCTCAGAAAATCATTCTGAGTCGAGATATCACCTTTGATGAAAATGCACTACTTTCTTCTGGAAAAATTCCGAGTACAGGTGAGACGCAGAGTATTGGTGAGAAGGTGGAGTTTGAGTTCAGGCCTATTGACAGTATTACTACTACTGATGGTAATACTAAAGATGATGCATCTACTAGCACTGCACCACTCGTCCAGCCACAACGAGAGTATTCCATTGCTAAGGATCGTCCTAGGAGGACAATTAAAAAACCTGCTAGGTATGCTAGTGATGATGAAACCAATATGGTTGCTTATGCTCTTTCAGTCACATAGGAAGTTGATGGTGATCCATCCTGCTATTCTGAAGCTTTTCCTATTGCTAAGTTCAAGCAGCGCTTGAGTTTAGTCGACTGTTCCAGTTGTTAATTCCACAGTGGATTTGATCCAAGGTGGAGATTTTTAGAATTTAATGTGTTTTGTGGCTCAAATTTGTGGAGATTGCGTCATCCTCAACACCATCCATGTCGGCCATGTCGCACACGTTCCTCTCCTCAATCCGCAGCCACGTTTTCCCTTCCTCAATGTACATGCCACATTTATCTCTCTTCTTGCATGTATAAATAGTTTTAGTTTCTTTATTTTCAATGCATCAATCATTTGAATTCAACTTCATTTGTCTTTAGCTTTCCTTACGTACAAATATATATATATATATTTCATTTGTTATTCTCTTTTGAGAATTTATATATATATATATTTTATATTAGATTCATTTGTCATTTATATAATTTTCTTCATTTACATATTTTCCCTATTATTTAACTTCTATAATTCTCAATTTTTGATTCTTCGTTTCCGCATTATTCCGCTATATTCCTAACAAGTGCCATAGACACTTAGTGTTAAGGTCTATTAGGGGTGTAATTTGAGCTTAATTATGATCCTTTGTGCATCATTTTGAGTCATTTAAGCTATGTTGTGTGTTATGCTTCAAATTACTACCGCACTTTGTGTTTTTATGAATTGTAAGATGGTTTAAGCTAAAAGGAGGCATGACGGCATATTCCGGGGCAAAGCAAGATGAGGAAACAAGTCGGAGCCAAGCCAAGAAGAAGCAACGCACGTTGGATGTGCATTGAGGAGAAATAGAAATATCAACGCATGGCCCAACGTGCGTTTGACGTTCGCGTGTAACGGTCAAGTAACCGGCCAACGCACGTTGGCTGGGTGTTGGGCGCACGTTGAGTTGTCACTTATGGAAGAGAACTATTTAAGTGGCTAGATTAGATTAGAATAGGGGGATTGAGCAGATTTAGAGAGTTTAGATAGAGAAACATTTCAATTCCTAGTTCTCCCTTCTCTCTAAAAGATCAATTGAAGGAGGAGATTGACACTCTTCAAATTCAAGAGATCAACACTTGTATTTCATTTTGGTACACTAGTACAAAAAATACTTTCCAAGTCACCTGTAAACCACTTTCCGAGTCACCTGTACAGGTGACTCAGATTCCAAAGCCTCTGAAAGTGTTTAGCTTTCCGAGGCACCCGTATAGGGTGTCGCGGAAAGCTAAATAAGTATTTTTTATTTTTTTTAATAGAGACTTTCCGAGGCACCTGTTGCATCACAGGTGCCTCGGAAAGCCATTTAATATTTTATTATAAAATACTATCCGAGACACCCACGCACAGGTGGGTGTCGCGGAAAGTATTTTATATTTTTTTTAATATATATATATATATATATATATATATATATATATATATATATATATATATATATATATATATATATATATATGCAACTAATTTTATAAAAACAATAAATAAACTCCCACTTTTACAACACAAATACATCAAAATTATTCATAGCCAATGTTTTACAAAGAAGAGAGAAAAAAATGAAGAGAGAGCCCCCATCTTGCTATCACTAGTCTCCGTATGTTTTGACTCCTATATCACCTTAATCTTTCCCCCTTCCCCCACTAACAGCTCCAGATTGAAGTTGTTTGTCACATTGGCTAGCTCGCGAAATGTGAACACTTCTGCTGCAATTTTTATGTCCCCATACCTCAGAATGTCTTCTGCTAGCTGTTTTTGCTTGCTCATCCCTGCAACCCATTCAAAATGTGTTTTTTATTTTTATTTTTTTGTTTTCATGAATCAAGAAAATTACAATAATTTACAATTTACAAACTGATAAAATTCGATGGGGGCAACAGAAACTCAGAATGGAAATGAAGATCATGTAACAATCTATATAACTTCTTGGGAATCCAAGGATTCAAACAAGTTTTTATCTTCCAATTAATGATACCATACATGTTCTCATGGAAATACTTCTGGCAATGGAAGCCAGTGGCTCTTCATTATCATATGTGCTTGAAGTCCTTGCCTCATTCAAAGAACTCTTGGAGCTTTTCAAAGGATTCTTCCACATCTTCTTAATCTCTGATTTATAAACACAACACAGGTCATAAAATCAAAGCAGTTGTGAAGAAGAATGCATGGGAGCAAGTACAATAAGATTGAAAATTCTAAACGGAAAGTTCTCAGGCATCCACATACCTGGTGATGTTATCACATCTGTACTTGTTTTTATAGTTATTTTGAATCATCTTGGTAATTAAGTTCTTTAATTTTGCTTATTTAATACATGTTTTCCTTGCTATTATCATTTAATTATGGTTCACACTTGTTTTGAATGTTTTACGGTGTTTGTTAGTGTTTTTGAACCATTGTAGGTCAAAGTTATGAGCAAGGAAAGTTCGAAGACAAAATTGGATTCAAAGTGGACCGAATGGCACCTACAAAGTACATTCAACGCGTCCAAAATTTCCAGAAAGATTTTGCGGTCGAGACCAGGAGGGCTCAACGCGTCGAGCCTTTTCTCGACGCGTCGAGAAAGACGCACGACGTAATTACAAAATGTGGCGCTGAAATGTGGCATTCTCCATTCTAAAACCAAGAAGCAGCAAATTGCATTCCAACAATAGAAATGGGCGCTGATTCCCATGAAGGCATGAAATTAAAGAGAAATCTCAAGATTATAATTGTTAGCTTCCAAATTTAAATTAGGAATGCAAATTCCTAAATTAAATTAGGAAAATTCCAATTCCGCCCAGCTTTGTACCTACTATAAAATTTCACCTTCCTCAACCCTAAAGGACAGAGATTAGAGAGATTTTTAGAGTTCTTTGTAGACAAGAAAGAGAGAAATCAAGTACCTCAAGTTGTCTTTGGAAGCAAGGAGGAAATCGAGGAGATTTGAGAGAATCGCTTGGTCAATTCTTGTACTCTTTTGATGATTTGTAATTCTTTATTTATATTTGCTATGTATAATTTAGCCATGCTTGGCTAAATTCTTTAAGGATTTTTGGGTGAATTTGTTTATGAACCTATGTGCCTAGTTTATTAATTTCTTAATATATTTATGTTTGGTTTTATGATTTGTGTTGCAATCTTGTTTTAACCTGTTGTTGTTGGTAATTAAAGGCCTAAATTACTAGCTTCATAACCATGTTTGTGTCACCAATGGGAGTTGGGGCATAAATTAGGGAACACACGATTGCACATAATGGTTGGACCTTGGGAAAGGAGAACTTATTGGGGGAATCTTATTCTAGATTGTTGCCTATCGGGAGATGGTAGTAATTGGGAATAATTAAATGCTGATCTTCGATCTTATTAGGTGTTTAAGCCACGGGAGTGGAAATTCACTAGGAATAGAGATTACGGAAGTAATTCGATTCCACTGTGCATTCCCATACAAATCTTAATTCCAAACTAAATATTACAAACGTTAATTGGCACTAGGTGATTAAACATTGTGATCCCAAGAATCATGTTTCGCTCTATTGTTTACAAAACCTTGTTCTTTATTTTATTCTGCTTGTTATTTTCTACAATTACCCAACCTTCAAGTTTTGTTCGGACTAGTTTCATATGAGTAACCTAGTAGCTAGTTATTAGTACCCCATCTCTCTGTGGTTCGACAACCCAAATACTCTGGGTATTATTTGTTTTCCCCAAAATACCGCAATCAAATTGGCGCCGTTGCTGGGGAGGTGGCGTTACGTACTGACATTAGTGAAAGTCTTACTTTTGGAGTCTAGTCTATTTTATTTTATTTTATTTATTTTTATTTTTGCTAATCTATAACAAGTTCCTTGTTCTTGAGTGTGATTTTGCTTTGAATTTAAGAACTTGGCTTTGTATGCGTACACGATCTTTTGGGAAAGAAGGATTATTACCTCTAAACCTTGAGATTGAGAAAAGAGCCAAGTTTCGTAGAAAACAAACTAGGATGGCACAGGTACAAGAAAACCAAGTTGAAGGGAGATCAATGTCTGACTACCTTGCTCCGGATGTTGAGGAACATGGTAGCATCAATATTCCAAATGTGGAGGCCAACAACTTTGCGATCAATCCGGCCATACTCAGCATGGCTGCGACGGATCGATTTGGAGGGATGCCCACGTACGGAAGATCCCAATGCTCACACCACCAAGTTCCTAAGACTTTGTGGCACTTTCAAGATGAATGCAGTCACTCAAGATGTTGTCAGACTTAGGCTTTTCCCCTTCACAGTGAAGGACAGGGCTGAAGAATGGTTATCCTCACATCCAGATAACCATTTTGACACTTGGGAAAAATTACATGGAGAATTTTTGAAGAAGTTCTATCCTATCTCCAAGACTCAAAGGATGAGAAGGGCAATCCAAAACTTTAAGCAACTGGCAACTGAGTCCCTCACTGAGTCTTGGGAGAGATTTAAGGAATTGAAAAGGCAATGTCCATGCCATGGGTTTCAAAGTTGGGATTTGATGATGTCTTTCTATGAAGGATTGCTTGATAATTCTAGGATTTTGGTGGATGCTTCTTCGGGTGGTTCGTTCACGATTCTAGAGCCAACACAAGCCGAGGAACTATTGGAGAAAATTGCTATGAATGGATCTACTTGGTACACGGAGAAGTCTCCACAAAAGCTTGTAGGAGGAATTCATGATGCGGGGCAATTAACCGATTTGTCAACAAAGTTGGATAACGTGGTTTCCATGGTTCAAAAGCTTGCCCAAATCACCATCCAAAAACACAATGTGAGTCATGTTTCTAACCTTGCTACTCTTGGTCAAGTTTTGATGTGTGAACTTTGTGGTGGTGGACATAAGTCAGGGGATTGTCTCGACGAGTTAAATTCCCAAACCTCTATGGAGTAAGTTAATATGGTGGGATATAATACGCCTCATCAACAGTCTTTCCAACCTCAAGGGACCCACCATCCTAATAATTCAAGGAACCATCCCGGTTTTTCATGGAGCAACCCAATGGGGGCTGCCAACCCTCAACACTTTGTTAATAGAGGTCCTCCAGGTTTTCAAGGTACTCAAGTTCAATCTCAATTTCCCGTTTCGGAGGCTCCACCTCAATCGAATATGGAAGTATTGTTGGAAAAATTGGTTAAAGGTCAGCTAGAGCTTACAAAGAGGATGGATCAGATGAATGCTCGCCAAAATATGTTTGAAAAGCAGTTAGCAAATCAACCTTCTACATCAAGTACTAAAGTCACAGGGAAGTTGCCAGCCAGTACTGAAAATCCAAGGGAGCATGTAAATGCAATTGTTACAAGGAGTGGCAAAGTACTTGAAGAGCCACCTCTTCCAATCAAAGCATCAATTCCTAAAAAGACAGTTGAGGAAAAGATTGAAGAGATACTTGATGGTATAGAAGATGAGCCAATTGTTGTGCAAAATAATCCACAAGTTCAAAAGGAAGTAGAGAAGCCCGTGAGAAGGTATGTACCCCCATTGCCTTTTCCTCAAAAAATTGAAACAACAAAAGAAAGTAGATGGAAAAAGTTTTTGGAGGTTGTTGAGGGTTTGAAAGTTTCAGTTCCCTTACTTGATTTGCTTTCACAAGTTCCCTCTTATGGAAAATTTTTGAGAGAGATTCTATCTAAGAAAAAGAAATATGGGGAACGAGAGATGGTTGATGTGGCACAAGAGTATCGAGCTTTGACCCCAGGAATTGGGAGGAATATACCTAAGCATAGAGATCCGGGGAAGTTCACAATTCCTTGTGTGATTGGAGGCCGACCTTTAAAGGGATCCCTTTGTGATTTACGAGCCAGTGTGAGTGTTATGCCTCTCAATCTTTGCCAAGGGTTAGAGTTGGGAGAACCAAAACCAATCCAATTCACCTTGGAAATGGCGGATCGATCCATCACAAAGCCTATTGGAATTCTTGAAGATGTCCCAGTTCGTGTGGACAAGTATTTTGTGCCTTGTGATTTTGTTGTGATAGATGTCCTAATGAATCCAGACGTCCCACTCATTTTGGGGAGACCTTTCTTAGCCACTACTAAAGCAATAATTGATGCAAGGAAAGGCTCCACGATCTTTGACTTTGGGGAAGAAAAGGTGGAATTTAATGTTCTTGATGAGTCAAAGGTCATCGATTGCAAGTCAATTTTGAACCTTGACCCTACTTTCAAGGTGACACATGATGAGTATATGCATTTGAAGAGTTTATGCGGTGATGAGATCAAACTCGCCGATCAACCTGGATGAGCACTCCATAACCAGGTTAGGTCGAGCTAGCGACGTTAAACTTAGCGCTTCATGGGAGACACCTCATGTTATCTTTTATTGCTTTCATATTTATTGCTTTCTAGTTTAGTTTTATTGCTTTCTAGATTCGTGATTATTTTATTGCTTTTATTGCATCAGGGACGATGCATATCTTTAAGTGTGAGGGGGAGGAGTCATTAATTTGGGGATATTTTTAAAATTTTTTAAAACTTTTGCTTTTGCTTGAATGACTCATATGCTATTTTTGGTGAATAAGTTGTTTTAGCATGTAGTTACAATTACTCTCTCTTGTTGGTTTGTGGTTGGTTTTAGTGGTGCTTGCAACATCTCAATTTGTGATGGATGATTTGAGGTGTAACACATAATTGATCTATTCCCTTGCCAATAGCTTTGTTAACCACTTAATAATTAGATTAATTCTTGATTTTGTGTGTTATGCATTGCTAGTGAAGACTTATGTGAGATTTCGGTCATGGGTGTTTTGCTAGAACTTGCCTCATTACTCCCTAAGTGATGTCTAAGTGTTGCATGTTTTGAAGTGATTTAGGCCATTTTTGTTTAGTCATAGCCTTTAAACCTGTCCCTATATATATATATATATATATATATATATATATATATATTTTATCCTTCGTGTCCCCATTGTGCCTTTTGTTTGTTTAAATAAGTGCTAAGCACTTATCCTCCCTTCGTGATTATTTTTCTTTGATTTACCCATTATTATAACCCTTAGCCCTTGGCCAAATATTTCCCTTCCACCCTTTGAGAGAATGAAACTTTTATCTTTATTATTTCTGTAAGAAGAGTTTATGGAGTTGTGCCAAAAAGCAGCTGATATTATTACAAATTGTTCAAGTGTGTGGGAATTGAAAGATTGGATTAAAATTGTCTTGCAGTATTCAAAAGAAATCCAAAGAAAAGAATCGAAAAAAAAAAGAGAAAAGAAAAGAAAAGAATGAAAAAGGAAAAAAGATTGAAAGTTTTTGAGTTTGGATTTTTCCAAAGAGTTGCTAAGTTCTTAAAAGAAATTTGCTCCTTGAAATTTTGATTATCACATCTCTTCCAAATTTTGAAAAGTTTAGATAAATTGTGACATTCTCTCTTTTTGATTAATTTTTCCATACCACTTCTTTGTTAGCCATCACCCGTAGCCCCATTACAAGCTAAATAAAGTCCTATTTGATCTTAGCATGAATTCTTAGATTTGATCTAGGGGAGTATGAAGGGCAAGCCTATGGGATCTCAATCATGAGCCGTGTCTTGCATAATCTCAACTGAGTACATGTGCACACTTGATCCTCACATACTTTAAATTCTTGGTGCTTGGTTATTGGCTTGGAAATGTGTCTCTTATGTGCCAAACTAATTTGATTCTTGAAGCTTATTGTTTTGTAGCAAGTTTGTTGGTGGTTTGAAAGGTTGTGCAAGAGAGAGCATGAGTAATTTGTATGTTTTGAATTGTGATTTTATTTCTTGGTTTTGCTTGAGGACAAGCAAATGCTTAAGTGTGAGGGGGTGATGTTATCACATCTGTACTTGTTTTTTTAGTTATTTTGAATCATCTCGGCAATTAAGTTCTTTAATTTTGCTTATTTAATACATGTTTTCCTTGCTATTATCATTTAATTATGGTTCACACTTGTTTTGAATGTTTTACGGTGTTTGTTAGAATTTTTGAACCATTGTAGGTCAAAGTTATGAGCAAGGGAAGTTCGAGAACAAAATTGGAGTCAAAGTGAACCCAATGGCGCCTACTCAGTACATTCTTGGCTCGACGCGTCCAAAATTTTCAAAAAGATTTTACGGTCGAGACCAGGAGGGCCCGACGCGTCGAGAAAGACGCACGACGTAATTACAAAATGTGGCGCTGAAATTTGGCATTCTCCATTCTAAAACCAAGAAGCAGCAAATTGCATTCCAAAATTAGAAATGGGCGCTGATTCCCATGAAGGCATGAAATAAAAGAGAAATCTCAAGATTATAATTGTTAGCTTCCAAATTTATATTAGGAAGGCAAATTCCTAAATTAAATTAGGAAAATTCCAATTCCGCCCAGCTTCGTACCTACTATAAAATCCCACCTTCCTCAACCCTAAAGGACAGGGATTAGAGAGATTTTTAGAGTTCTTTGTACACAAGAAAGAGAGAAATCAAGAACCTCAAGTTGCATGTCTTTGGAAGCAAGGAGGAAACTAAGGAGATTTGAGAGAATCGCTTGGTCAATTCTTGTACTCTTTTGATGATTTGTAATTCTTTATTTATATTTCTATGTAGAATTTAGCCATGCTTGACTAAATTCTTTAAGGATTTTTGGGTGAATTTGTTTATGAATCTATGTGCCAGTTCGTTAATTTCTTAATATATTTATGTTTGGTTTTATGATTTGTGTTGCAAGCTTGTTTTAACCTGTTGTTGTTGGTAATTAAAGGCCTAAATTACTAGCTTCATAACCATGTTTGTGTCACCAATGGGAGTTGGGGCGCATAAATTAGGGCACACACGATTGCACATAATGGTTGGACCTTGGGAAAGGGGAACTTATTGGGGGAATCTTATTCTAGATTATTGTCTATCGGGAGATGGTAGTAATTGGGAATAATTAAATGCTGATCTTCGATCTTATTAGGTGTTTAAGCCACGGGAGTGGAAATTCACTAGGAATAGAGATTACGGGAGTAATTCGATTCCACTGTGCATTCCCATACAAATCTTAATTCCAAACTAAATATTACAAACGTTAATTGGCACTAGGTGATTAAACATTGTGATCCCAAGAATCCTGTTTCGCTCTATTGTTTACAAAACCTTGTTCTTTATTTTATTCTGCTTGTTATTTTCTTCAATTACCCAACCTTCAAGTTTTGTTCGGACTAGTTTCATATGAGTAACCTAGTAGCTAGTGATTAGTACCTCATCTCTCTGTGGTTCGACAACCCGAATACTCCGAGTATTATTTGTTTGCCCCAAATTACCGCAATCACCTGGTACAGCAAAAAATTATGCAGAGAAAAGTGAAATGAAATTATACAAAAAGAACAGTGACATATTATTATAGCATTCAAGTATACTCATGAGAGGATAAAGTAATTTTAAAAACAGATTTGATGAGAACAGACTATGTAAGAATATAGGAAATAGGAATAAAGTTAATTACCTAGAAAGTCTCGGCCATTCAAAGCATCAACCCATGTTTCTGCCGCTTCATATAATGCTGCACGCTCATCAGTGATGTTATATTTTTTCTTCAATTTCTTGGATACAAAATACATGGTTGTAGCTCCTGCATACTTTGCAATTGTTCTCTCATTGAAGCTGAAATTACCTTCACATAAAAGTAAGCACAAGTGAACATATATGCTTGGATAGAAAGAAAACTGAGTCATCATACCACTCATCTAAGGGGGACCAACTTATGAAATCAATTCCAAAAATTCTCACTAAAGTAATTTACTTTATTTATTTATTACTCCGTATTATTTTGATTCAATATATGCTCATTTGTCCTACTTAAACCAAGAATTGATGCAAACAACTGAAACTGATCATTTCATGTCCTGTCAGAAGAAATAAAATTATAAAGCATAGAATCTGTTTCAAATGCCTAGAACTAAATGAAAAAGTGGCATGGCATTATACCTCATCTTCATGTTTATCTTGGTGTCCACCTCCAACACGGTCTTCATCCTCCTACATTTTCCATCTTTCCTTATACTAGCAGCAATTATCTATCAAAGAAACAAATCAAACCTAAATATTTGAATGCATCTCTTTACACAGCTTGCTTAGTATCTCATAACAACAACAACTACTACAACAAAAAATCTCAGACACTAACTTCAGCATACACGCAAACACTTATTGCAGATCAAGATTCATCAATCATTCCATTGCTTATGAATGATTGCTAGCAGCCATTTCACAAATAACTTCAATTTGATACTGAAAATGTGACAGCACTAATATATTGTGGGTGGAAAAAAGTCAATATATGTTACCCAATGGGTACAATATTCACATAAAATCAAATTGCAGAACATATGCTACACTGCATAGGACCTTCCAACAAATATTATCCTATTCAGGAATAAGAGACTTCAAAATAATATTAGCTATATTAGCAAGAAATGACTATTTTGCCAAAATAGAGTATATGATCATTAACGTTGACCCTTCAAATCTATCTTTTGGAGGCAGCAATGCCCTCTTTGACTGCAGCCCTTTTACTATAGATCTTACCTTTTCCATCTCATCTTCAACTTTATCATTATTACAGCTCTGCAAAAAGAAGATTGAGTTTAAAATGCCATCTTTAAGACACATGTATTACAGAATGGCAGCAGTATTTAGGATACAAGTAACAATTATTTGTTATGCACTTATGCTATAAAATGCTACAAAGGAAATCCACCAATTCCTTAGACATGCACACAGATCTCACCTCAAAAGTTGAAGGATATTCACTTATAACTATAGATTCTTTTTTTGGAACAATCTCTCTTAGCTGGAAGATGCTGCCACAGTTCCTTTGTGACAAATATAATGGCATGAATGGGTGAACTAGAAATTTAATGTTCAACATCAAATTTATGATGGTATATGCTTACTAATGATGGTATCATATCCCGTCACTATTTGTTTTAACCTCGGAAGAAATAATGACGGGTGGCGACGGTAAATTTCCCGTCATTAAAAGTCTTTTATGATGGTTTTTGATTTTTAGTGACAGTTTTACCTCTCACTAATGAACAATTTTCTTGTAGTGTGTACTAGAAAAAAAGATTGAATGTGTTTGAATTCATAAGTTGCAGTAGAAATTTAATGTTCAAGAATCATAAATCCCTTTGCAGATGATACATTGCCTAGAAAAATGCTACTTAAAATACTACCCTCCTCAATTCTCATTCTCCCACTTTCCCTATTCCACAGATGCACCCCATAACTTTCCCCCCTTAGTTGAACCCTAACACATAATGTTCATAGATGTTTCTAACACGTAAGTGCACAATCAGAACAAAAATAACAAACCTCCACATGCCGCAACAAATAGACTAGAAGAGTAAGAAGTAAGACATACCTATCTACACCACCGCTGCCTCCTCGCTGGTCAATCGCCACCTCGCCGCCACCAATCGAGGACATCGCCGGTTGGTCGCCAATGCCTCGTTCAATATCCTCGTCGCAGCCGTAGGAACTCCAAGTCTACAGGAAGGCGGGAACATAAAGAAATTAATTGATTTTCTAAATTAGGAATTAGGGTTAGAATGGTGTATAGAAAGAGGGTGCGACCGGTGAGAAAAATGAACCTGAGGGTGAAGACTGAAGACGGAGCCCAGTCGGCAACAGTTGAAGATGAAGCCGAGCGAAGTGGCGAGACGCAGAGGAAGCGGTGTTCATCTCACGATCTGATGGAGGAGTTCACGATGGAGGAGAGCTGAGATCTTATATGGGCTGAAACAAGCTCCACGAGCTTGGTATGATACTCTATCATACTTTCTTATAAATTGTGGATTCACGAAAGGAGCTGTTGATAAAACACTCTTTTGTATCAAAAATGATGATCATGTGTTGCTTGTACAAATATATGTTGACGATATCTGTAACACCCCAGATTTTCAAGACTTTTTAAAACTTATAATAAAGGTAGAATCTCATTAAATTCCAAGAAATAAATACAAGCGTACGGGGTACTATGCCACACCTGGGCTAGAGAACCCAAGTGCACAGGCTAACTAACTAATATCCTCAAAGCGTAATTACGTAAACGTGGCACGCAGGCCAAAAGGGAAAACTATCTACTTCTATACTCCAAGTTCTAGCGCGCTCCAGTGAGAGATACCAATTCAACTAGCATGCAATATAATAGACTCATAAACCTACGAACGGTACCCGAAACATCAAACTAGACATAGGCACGATAAACGGAGTCCGTTGGGACACCACGGGGAACAGGGGAACATCAAACGGGGAAGCCGGGAACCCAAGGTGGGGGAAATTCCAGCGGGTAGCCGGTGGGTGGGGGCCACCCGCCGGAAAGTACTGTTCCGGGCAGCGGGTCGCCGGCGGGCAGCTGCCCGCCCGCCGGCTACCCGCTGCCGGGCGGTGTTTCACGGCCGTGGGTAGGTGGCGGGTCCCCTACCCCCCACCTACCCCCCACTGACTCTTTTCATCACTTTTGCGCCCCGGGAACCATTGTGGAACCCGAAACCATGCTTAGACACCTTACAACGCAATTAACGACAACACGTAGACAATTAACGGATCAAATACGAGAAACGAACGGCACATAACCTATCATGCTTTTCTAGACATAATCAACACCCAAACATGCGATTTCCCCACCCCACAATCCAAGAATCATAACATACGATACAACCTAGGGTTCTAATCACTTTTATGTCAACAAGAATACGATTCGCCTTCTAATTGCAAGATTCGGTAAGGATAACACATAAGCATCAAGAACATCACACAATTATCAAGAACAACACATAATCATCGAGAATTCCATATAATCATCAAGAACTCCATAATTATCAAGAATCTCCCAATATCAAGATTATCAAGATCCCTCATGGGATCATCACATCAAACATCAATAATCATCATCATATCTCGCCAATCACAATAATATGGGGGAAACCCTAAGGGGGAATCATAGCTATGAAAATAGGTTTTGTTGAGACATGGGTTACCTCTTAGCCTTAATTAATTCCTTGGCTATGAAGGATCTTTCTTTAAGCTTTCTTGATTTCTTGATTTCTCCTAGGGGAATTCTTGGAGCTCTTTGGGTGGTGAGAGATTATTGTGGTGGGGATTCTAGGTGCCTCCTAAGTTCCCTATTTATAGATCTAGGGATCTTATTTAGAGTCTAATCCTATTGGGATTAGGGGTTGGGTTTAGATATGAGGGCCCACGGACTATGGTGGGCCTTTTTCCCTAATTAATCATTATAATTTATTCTTTCTCTTGGGCTATTGATTAATTAACTAATTGGTTTTAGGGGCCGTAACACGGGGTGTTACACTCTCCCCCCCCCCCCCCTTACAAGGGGCTTCGTCCCCGAAGCCCGGTGTTATAGTCCATCCTTTCACCCCTAGACACCTCGTAGCTCGGCCTCCTGATTAGGGTTGCGGCCTTACGTTTGTCTTGGCTTGGGGTAGGCTGAACTTTTGATGATGTTGTGATAGAGAAGTTTTCGGTTGTACCTCGGTTTCCTGCGCTGGAACTGGATGCACCGCGAGTGCCCAAGGCGGCCTCGATCGCTGCCACCCTTTGATCGAGTGCGCGTGTGGTGCGAATCAAGGATGAGAACCCTTCTTCCATGATTTGATTCTGCCGGTCGAGCTGTGCGAGTATGCGTTCGTTGACCGAACCCTCGTCTTGTACCCTCGGGTTCCCTCCTGGCTGTGGGTGCACTGACGGGTTAGGCCCGTCTTCCTCCTCTTGTCCCTCATTTCCCTCCGTACCTCCGCAATCTTGCATGGCTCGCTTGAGCTTTTTGTTGGAGATGTCCAACCGATCAACCAATTCCCTACGTTCCTCCTCGGGTTTTTGGCAAATTTCTTCGAGGGTGAGATAGTGTCCTCCTTCGGTGTAGTGGATGTCGTTGCAGCGGAGGTTTTGGGCATTGAAAACCATGCCATTGGCAGTTTTGACCTCGGTGTGGCTTAGGTCCACCCCCTTTTTCTCCATGATCCAACTTAGGATCATCCCGTAGGGTAGGCTAAGCCGGTTGTTTGTCTTGCAGAACTCTATGTGCTTTAGCATGAGTGCCGGCAGGTTGAACTTGATTTTATGTTTTAGGAGATACGCAAAGGTGCACTCCAAGCTCCCCACATCCTTGCTCTTGTTATTGGTGGGCAAGAGGCTATCGGTTACAGTCATAACCAATATCTTTTGCTCCGCCGATAGCCACTTTCGGTTTGGTCGAGTGGCCGAGGTGAACCCGTCCTCTTTCCCGAGTAAGTATCCGAGATAGTCCTTGTATCCCGTAGTTTGGGTATCAATCCAACCCTTTCGGTCATAGTTAGACACACCCGTGGTGGTCAATTTCAAGAGCTTGGCCAACCGGCCTTCGGAAAGCACAATTTCCTTGCCACGGACCTTGGTGGCGATCTCTATCTTGTCACCCCGTTTGGTGGCCACAAGGTGTTGATAGAACTCCTTCACCAATTCGGGGTATGTATCCCCCTTGATGGTGAGGTATGCATCTAGGAGCCCTTGGTGTTTAAGCATATCAACCAATTCCGGAGAGAATTGGACGGGTTCGAGTGCTTTACCTCCGATTACGGTGTAATCGGCGTTGCTCCACTCCGGGGTGCGGATTCCGAGGGGTTTCTTTGGCATCGTGATGCTCGTTTGATGGTGATGTTTGCCGGCGATTTTTCCGGCGAGGCGGTGCGATTTTCCGGCGGGTTCTCCGGCGAGGCGGTGCGGTTTTCTGGCGAGGCGGCGGCGGGGTTTCGGCGTATTCTCCGTTTGCGAGGTCGACGCCGGTGAGGTGGGGTCCGGCTTTGGTGTGGTGGGGGGTGTGGTGGCGCTGTGGGGTCGACTGGGCAGCGGGGCAGCGGGTCGACGGCGGGGTGTCCTTCGGACGGTGGATGTCGATCGACTGGAGCGGCGGCGAGGCGGTGCGGCGACGGCGGTCGTCGTTCGGCCGGTGGCGGCTATCGGTGGGGGGTGGCGTTTGAGTGGCTGCCGGATTTTGCTTGGGTGGGGTGGTGGTGTGCGTGAGAGGCAATGGAGGGGAGAGGTGGGAAGGAAGAAGGAGAGGAAGAAGAAGAAGGGTTTTTGATTTGGGGGTTTTGTGGGTTTTGGGGACTTGGAGAGGTTTAACAAGGGAGTATTCCCTTGAGGTTTCAAGAAACACTCATGGCTTAGTGGTTAGGGGCTTGGACTTGTAAATAGGAGGTCTAGGGTTCAATTCCTAATGGTGACATTAGGTATTTCTTGATGGTATGGTTTTTGTCCTTTTCCTTGTTTCGTCCTTTAGTGGGGGAAGGGTTGGGTTGATGGTGTAACTTGTGCTTTACCTCCATAGTGGAATTGAAATTAGATCAAAATCTTTATTCATAATACTTTCGAAATAGCTAAGCTAAATAAGTGGTCTTTACGACACGGGGGGTGGTTACAAGGGGTGTGATGGTTTATCCTAGACAGAACTCGTTTTCTGGATTTTCTTCTGTGGGATCCGTATGGTCCTCGTCCTCCGGGATTGGGTTTCCCCCTTCTAGGTCCTCTTCGTTTCCGAGGTTGGCTTGAGTGTGGCTCATAACGAATACCTTTCCGGGAGCGCCGTAACTTCCTTGATGACCGGTGCCCCCGTGTTGGCCCACGGTGGCGGGGCGCGGTCTTTGGGGTCGAGTGCACTGGAAGGCCTTGTGCCCCTCCTCTCCGCAGTTGAAGCATCGCCAGGGGTTGCCCGCGCAATCCTTGTACCTATGGCTTTTGTTGCATCTCGGGCAAGGGAAGCTTCTTGGATTAGCTTCGTTGTTTCCCAGGGGCGGTCTTTGGTTGGTCGGGTTGTTCGA